CTGAGACGCCATCTCTCCGCCTGCTCGGCTACGGCTCAGGGCCGCGACTGCGAGGGCTAGGTGAGGGAGCGCCTGGCTTGCCAGGCACGATGGGCAGAGCGCCGAGCCCTCCACCCCGCCCACGTCTGACAGCAGGCCAAGGATTGCTGTCAGTCTAAGCTGAGATTCGAGGGAAGAAGGGAGCACTTCATTCATGGGGGGAGGAACGTTCCTTTTTTATTTTCCCTAGTTTGGGTTTCAGAGAGTAGGGGCTCATCGACATTTCTGGCAGCAGCTAATATTCCCTAGATGCCGAGTCCCACGGAGGCTTCTTTGCGGGTCGAGCCTTAGGACTAGCAGTGAAGCCCCTTGCAGTCGTGCGTTCCCCGAGCTAGCCAGAGTACAAGACTGCAAGCCCCACAGCCTTGCAGATCTTCCTGTAAAGAAGAGGGGGGCGTTCACGCATTCCTTTCGTGAAAGGCCTGGTACTTTGGTTCCAAAGCTCTCGTTTCCTTGGGGAACAGAACTGTTAGGCGCAGCAGGTGCGCTGTCTTTAGTCTTCCCCATCCCACCTACGGCCCAAAGGGGTTAAATCCTGGCTCCAGTAACTTGGGAGAAGGAAGGTAAGGCCGTGAAGTGTGAGGTGAGGGGTTAGGGAACTGGGTGCCAAAAAAGGTGTGGCTGGAATCCTGTTGGTTTGTTAGCCAGGCGGAGAGAGTGGGAAGTTTCTACAACCTTAGCAAAGAGAGTTAAGGGCTCTGAGCATTTCCCATGCCTCTCCTCTTAACCCACGCCTGAGCATGTGGTAGTGCAGTTAAAAAGAACTTGTGTGAAACTCAGACTATTTCAGGGTTGTTTTTCCCCCGGTGCTTTATTCTTTGTTCCCTTTTCTATTATTTTTTTCTTTTGTTATTAAAAAAAAGTCTTTCCTATTTGATGAGACTGGACCAATTACATGACCGGTGAGGAAGGGAGTCAGTCCCTGTAGAGATTTTTGACTCCTGGGAGGGGCTTCTGTTGCAACTTTTCAGTTCATTCTGTAAAAGAAACAGCAAAAGTCATAACAGTGGAAATTTAGTGTGAGGGGTATTTCTCAGGCCTTGTTTTCCAAGATAAGTTCAATTTCGGATCACAACTCATCTCTTATCACAATATCCTACCATCTGATCACATCGAGATGAAATAACCATCTTTAAGGTGTATGTATGTTTAATGTTAATGCTCGAGGAGTCACTGGAGTATTGCTGGGTGAGGATGGTTCTGAGTCCTTTTACAGCTTCTTACTTTGATTATTAACACACTCGCGACGGTTTTGTTTTAGTTGTTTGAGATTTCATCCTATCACTCAGGTCAGGAAGTGTGGCAATTCTCAACAGGTTTGGGAACTTTGCAGAGCCTGGAGATTGTGATTGTTATTTATTGGCTTTGCACGATACCTTTATACTAGTGAACTATGGAGAAATAGCATTCAGTCTTTAAGCCAAAAGGAAGAGCCTAAATTTGAACGTTGTTAAGTTTATCCAGAGGTAAGGTTTCACTGTGAAGTGACCTTTTAAAGAGCTTATTGATTTTTTTTTTTTTTGAGGAAGGTGAGTTACAGGTTAATTGTGTATTGAACCTAATGCTTGATGTTAATTAGCATTAAAGTTTCTCTGTAGGTGGACTTTTCTGTCCAGCCAGCCTTCTCCCAAATAACCACACAGAGACTTATTATTAACTATAAATGCTCAGCTGATAGCTTAGGCTTGTTTTTTAGTTAGCTCTTATAACTTAAATTAACCCATTTCTATTAATCTGTTATTATTGACATTATTTATTATATCATTTTATTATTATATATTATACTAATCTGTTATTATTATTAATTATAAATGCTCAGCTGATAGCTTAGGCTTGTTTTAGCTAGCTCTTGTAACTTAAACTAACCTATTTCTACTAATCTGTATGCTGCCTCAAGGCTCATTTACCTTATGTACCGTACTTCCTATCTTTCTGTCCTCCAACTCTGCCCTTTTTCTCCCCAGCATTCTCTCTAACTCGAGAATCCTGCCTACCCATCAGCCAATCATTTTTTTATTAACAATGAGAGCAACACATCTCACAATGTACGAAAGGATTATTCCACAGAATTTTTTTTCTGTTAGGGGATTCTCCCTCCCCCCTCTTCTCTCCTTACCTTTCCTCTCCCCTCTCTCTTTCTCTGTTTCTCCCTTTCTCTCCAAACCCTCACTCTGTAGACCAGGCTGGCTTTAACTCCCCATTAAGCCCAGGTTGGTCTTGAACTCAGCCTCTTGTGTACTGAAATTACAAGTGTGAGCCACCACACCTGGCAAGAGGATGCATTTTATGTAATTCTTTTCAGTCTTTACTTGACATTAAAGCAGCAGGTTAAGTGAGCTGGTAGAAGTGATTCAGATACTGAAATAAATACTTGACCACACAGAATTTTGTGATTTTTTTTTTTTAAAGCACTTTCTTGAAGGTTTACACAGGCAACTGTGAGTGGTCCCCAGGCTTGGTGTCTGAAAGGTCTTACTATCATGTCCAGAATGAGCTTGGCTTTCTGTGTTCTTCTCCCCTACAACTCACATAGTCAAGTTTGTGGTTTAGAATATAAATACAACAAGCATTGTTGCAGAGTATTAATAGAATTTTTTAGAATGAAAGCTAGTTTTTCTTCTTAAGGGCATATTTGTAGCAGTAAAATACTGAAACTGCTCGTTTTGTCTTTCTTCCTTCTAGCTATAATTTCTCAGTATGTTTCCACTGACTGAAGAAAACAAGCATGTGGCCCGGTTGTTGTTCAGTTCTGGTACCTGTCCGAGATGTATCTTCAGATTCTGTGGTGTGGATCTTCATGGACCTTACAAACGCCCATCCAAGGTATTTTCTTTTTAAATTAAGGAGTGTCTTTTTATAGTTATAATGAATGACACTAGCTTTGGGTATAGTGGTCGAAAGAAGGAAAATTAATAAAACTATTCTTACTAAGGTAATTTTGGAACTGCAGTTACCTTAAACATTTGATGTAGTAATACAGTTGTTTTTTATTACATTGCCATTTAATAGTTAGTGTAGAGAGGGATCTTTGCTGGAATTTTTTGCTATATTCATTATTTGTATAGACATTTTATAAAGGGCATATAAACAAAATAACACAAGATAATGAATGGGTCTTACCTGACATTAATGCTGTGCAACAGGAGGGGGCAGGTCATAGTCCTGGTTGCTTCTTTTAAATAGAAAATGAGTTTGGTTCCTTTTTTTAAATTAAATTTTATATTATTTTTATGAGTATGTGCATATATATGAGTATGGTGTATATGTGCACGCCAGTGTGTGTGTGTGTGCGTGTGTGTATGTCTGCTTGCTCACACAGATGTTTATGTGGAAGTTAGTTCTCTCCTTCCACCAAAGACCTTGGGAAATCAAGCAGGTTAGTAGGCTTGTGTGCCAAGTGCTTTTACGCAACAGGCCGTGTTGCTTGTCTTGGTTATTTCCCTTGCCATGCATTAGCATTTATGTGTATATGTTCATATGTATTCTTCTGGTGCTGGGCATTGAACCCAGTTCTTCACATGTGCCAGTGAATCATGGCACTGATCCATGTCCCCAGCCTACCACTTGTTTCATTCAGTGAAGAGGATATGTTCTGATAATGTGTCCTTTGATGACTTTATGCTTGTTTGAACCTCATGGAGTATACTTAAATGAAGATGCAGTGTACCAGGCAGTGTAATCTAGGGCCCACCATCCACAACCTGCAGCCTGCATCGTCAGGAATATTGTTTGATAGCTGGCTGTGTCAGAAAGCCTTTAAAAGTAAGTGCTTAGCGTAATCATTATTCCTGATACTAGCAACACAAGAACCTTTCAGAATTTTCCACATTTACATTAACACATAGAGAGCTGTGCTGTTGAATAGATTATCTTCACATTAAAGTATAGGATATGCCTGTGACATATGGTTGATACTAACAGTGACATTCTTTTCAAAGGCAAATAATTGTATACATGTGTAAATATATACATTTATACACACATCCTCAATTTATTTTAAAAATTGGTAATAAATGATGCAGCAATTACTATTGTTTTCTATATCATTGTGTTGTTTCTACTATGTTAGAAATAACAATAGTTCCTAGTGTTTGTCTAGTGTGTTACTACATGTCAAGATTTCATTTAATCTTCTGTAAGTACATGCAGTGATTATCTCTATTTTCAGATGAAGCGACTGAAGCATAGAGAAGTTAAGCAGCCTGCCCAAAGTTAAACAGCTATTAAATGAGCAAGCTAGGAATTGAACACTGTGTCTGAATCCAGAGCCTAGGACTGGAGCTAGAAGACGTGAATTGACTCTCAGTTCCACCACTGCACAGCTTCAGTTTACTTGTTTGTACATGGGAATGGTGATAAGATCTTCTTCACAAGGTTTTAAGGACATGATCTGTTTAGTATGTGGAAGTAAAAGCAAATGGAAACCAGAAGTGTCACATATGTAGTGAAAGTTGCTATGTGTGTAAATGCTCAGCTTATGTCCAGCTTTGTGTAGTCTTCCTTATATACTTTTTCCACACATGCCACACTATATATATATATGTACTGGATTCAAAATACATTTTGGAGAGAGAGAGAGAGAGAGAGAGAGAGAGAGAGAGAGAGAGGCTGATTGCTGGCAACTTTGACTTGTAATATTCTTTGTGAATAAATATAAACAAAATATTTGAAGGCTTTTTTGAAATGTTTTAACTTTTGTTTTGTTCCAATCACATAGCTGTACATGAGCACACACATGTACATACTATGTTATACTCATCTTACAGATGTTAGGTAGTAGTCAACACTCGTGTGGGTCATAATATACCTGTATGTGTGAATTTTTTGTGAAAATTGGAGTGCTAATACATCAACAAAGTGAACTTAATGTTTGAATGAAAGCATTTTCTTAAGTTAGTACAGTCTAACTGAATTCAAACAGTTTATCCTACAACTGAACAGTCAAACTGGCCTGATTTGGAAAAAGTCCAAGAAAAATTCTTAGCTTTAGATGGGGGAGTAGCAGAAGTGTTGGAGTGTTTTTTAAATGGAGGCTTGTTTTTACATTCTAATACAAGGAATTAACAGAAATTAGAGAAAAAATATAGAAGAGGGCTTAATGGATATAAATGGATTATAATTGTGGTGCTAAATTTTAGCACTGCCAAATCTATGTATTTTGGTAAACGGTCTCAAAAAGTATCTTTACTTGCTCAACCTTTAAATGATGCGGTTTCACATTAACTAATTCACTGTGCTGTGAGGTGTTAAATAACTTAGCTTGTACTTTCCTGTGTGCATGTATCTGTCTGTCTGTCTGTCTCTTTGTTGTTGGAGCTGGAACCCAGGGCTTCATGCACACTAAGCAGGGATTCCACCACTAAGCTGCATCTGCATCCTAGTTTATATTTTTATGTTTTAATAATTAGAATTGAATTAGTTTCTTTTTTTTAAAAAAATGAGTAGCGGAATGACCTTCCCAATAGAACTACAAGCCACATTTGTAAATTTGTTGATGGAAACTTTCTGCTTAAGATTAGAGTTTTAGCTTCACTGTTTTGTGAAATTCTTTTCAAAAAACACTCACATATGTAATATATATAATTGGCATTTGATTAGTGTATGGATTAAATGCGTTAGTAATAAATTCAAAGTCACCAGGAACACATTAGTGTTGCATTAAGGACAGAAATCAAAGCTCTTCTCCTTGGTGTCATTTAACCAAGAGGGAGCCCAGATTTGAATTCTCTACTTTGTTCTCATTGTGTCTTTGTCATTCTCTGTCTCTCTTGCGTGTGAGCCAGAATTTGTACCCACCCAAAAGCTGTCTTGTAAATTTATTATCCCTATATCTGTGTCTGTCCTTGTGTATCTGTTCCTAACAAAGGGCTTTGTTCTCTTTTATTTTTTAAAATATATTTTAAATTTTATTTTTAATTGTGTGTGTGTGTGTGTGTGTGTGTGTGTGTGTGTGTGTGTGTGTTTGTGTGTGTGTAAATGTATGCCATGTGTGTGGGTGCCTGTGGAGGCCAGATGCATTGGATTCCCTGGGGCTGGAGTTACACAGTTGTGAGCCACCTGAAGTGGTCCTCTGGAAGAATAGTACATGTTCCTTACCACTGAACCATCTCTCTAACTACTACTTTTATTGAACAGCATAGAAATCATCACATGGAGAAGGAATGAGTAATACTTTACAGAAATACTTAACAATTTTATAAGGAGTTAATTCCAACTGACCCAGATAGCAAACACTAGCAGGTAGTAGCTGAATGTTGCTTTCAGCATTTATGGTGGACATTCATTTTATAAGGCTGTTTTTAGCTTATTTGCCATTTTTTAGCAGATGATTATCATACACATGCAAACACGTGTGCATTACTCTTAGGTCAAGGGTATGAGAGAGCACATTAGCTTATGTTATAGAGGATTACTTGGGAAAGCCAAGGCAAATGAGGTTGGTTGTTGGTTGTTCCCCTAAAAACAGGTTAAACAGATAGTCTGGCCACACAGTAGGACAGCGGTCTGAAGTGACTTCAAGGTACCCTATCAACTTTGACTGAGTTCCAACAAAAGTTTCAGTCTCTTAGAATGTTAGAAATATTTCTATCACAATGCGTCTCCACAGGTTATTTTCTCAGATTTCTTAGAAAGCCACTGCTGTAATAAACTGGTTACTCCTGAAGTGATATAAACCAATGTTGTATGAGTCTGTGCTGTTATAATCCTCTCTATACCTTGTTTTGAGACAGGGCCTCACTATGTAGCCCTGGGTGCTTGAACTCACAAGGTTCTGCTGCCATGGCCTCTAAGTGCTCTAGTGGGACCAGAGGGCTGGGACCCAGGACAGGCATTGCCAGGTGGGGCAGTATATGCCTTTAATCCCAGTGCTCAAAGGTAGGCAGATCTCTTATGTGTTACTGATGACTGAATTTATTATTAATGAATTTAATCCACATACCAATCAAATGCCTACTTTACATGTGTATGTTTTTCCAAAAGATTTTCACAAATCAGTGAAGCTAAAATCCTAATCTTAAGTAGAAAGTTTCCATCAACAATTTACAAATCTGGCTTGTAGTTCTTTTGGGAAGGTCATTCACTGTGAATTTAAAAAAAGAAGACACATATTGCCACCTGGCTGACTTTCACACTTCATCTTATGAACCTCAAAGCCATTTTAAAATGTTACTGCTTTTTCTTAACTTTTCAGGAGTTGTTCAATGATCTACAGAAATTTCTAGAAACTGAAAAAGATGAGTTAATTTTGGAGCTTCCAAACCCACCACTGAAGAAAATTCGTCTTCAAGAAGACGGAATGGATAATTTGAGTGGAAATGGAGAAGAGGGGAGCTCTGCCACAGAAGATGAAATCATTGCCTCTGAGGCTTCAGATTTGCGTGTATGCAATGTTTGCTTAGGAATCCTTCAAGAGTTCTGCGAGAAAGAGTTTGTAGCAAAGGTAAACAATCTGTCTCTCATAGATCAGAGACCGTGTTAACCTGAGAGCTAGGATTCCTATACCCACGAGTCCTAAACAGTACCATCCATTTCAACTTGGCCTATACCAGTTGATTGCTGGTCTCTTCTTAATTAGAAAAGACCAAGTATTCTGAGATTGTCATATCACATATTGTGAAATTAATAAGAGCTGTCTGACATGCAACAAACTGTTCTGAAGCTGACACTTGTGTAGGGTGAGAACTATCAAATGCTGATGTCAGGATGTCTATGAAGAGTGGTCCGCTCAAATGGATCAGTTTTGTTTGTTTGCCTTTGTTTTGGGCGGTGCTAGAGAGTGGCTTGACATGAGCTAGGCAACACAGCACTACTGAGCCTCAGCCCCCAGCTCCTAGGTGAATATTGGGGAGTTGTGCAATGTCATCTCCTGGGAGGAATTTTATGATTAGAGCTACATTTTCAGCAATGCTTGGAAGTTTACATATTTGTAATTCTCTTTTAGGTGTGTCAAAAGGTTGAAGCCTCTGGGTTTGAATTCACCAGCATGGTTTTATCGGTTTCCTTCCCACCACAGCTGTCTGTGAGAGAGGTAAGGCCATTTGCATACTTCAGAGCATGTGTGAAATATATGCTGTGCATTTCTAACTTCTAAACCAAAAACAAGCAAAATTGGGAATAGAGGCTCACACTTGTAATCTCAGCACTTGGTCTGAAAGTTGGATGGTGAGGAGTTTGAGGCCATCCTGGGCAGGCTGTGTGTACAGACCGAGGTTGCAGAAGAGTTGCATGATGGCACATGAGCAAGCATGGCCAGAAATGCCTTACACAGTTGGTTTTGAATGAATTTTTGTTCTCAATTTTTTTTTTCTTGCAACCCCTCCACCTTCAGTTATGTGACCCCAGATGTGGTTGCCATCCACAGTCTAAGAAGCTGGGTTGACAAAAATACCATTGAGCTAAAAGTACATAATTTGAGAACTTTCAAATTTTAAGTTTCTTCTCCTAGATCCTGGTTAGGGTTTCTAATGCTGTGAAGAAACATCATTACCATGGCAACTCTTAAAAGAAAACCATTTAATAGTGGTAGCTCACTTACAGTTCTAGAGGTTTAGTCCATTATCATCATGGAGGGACATGGAAGCTTACAGGCACACATGGTGCTGGAGAAGGAGCTGAGAGTCCTACATCTTGATCTGAAGGCAGCAGAAGCAACCGTGTCACTGAGAGTAGCTTGAGCACAGGAAACCTCAAAGCTTACCCCCTTAGTGACACACTTCCTCCAACAAAGCCACATCTACTCCAAGGCCACACCTCCTTATAGAGCCACTCCCTATGGAAGTCATTTTCTTTCAAACCACAATGTTCTTAAACTTTTTAACATGCATAAGATTTATTCATAGCTAGGCATAGTGGCTTCTGTTCCTAATCCCAGTATTCAGGAGGCTGAGATAGAAGGGTTGTCAGGAATTTGAGCCCAACCTGGTGGATTTTCCAAGAACTATTCCACAGATTTATATGTATTCAGTCAGGTGAGGTCTAGGAATTTGCATTGTAACCATATTCACTGGTGCTATTGTTACAAAGACTACAGCTTGAAAAATTAATACTCTTAATTTTTTTTTACATTTTACATTTTTTAGTGTGTGTGTGTACATTTTTTAGTGTGTGTGTGTGTGTGTGTGTGTGTGTGTGTATACAGGTGTAGAAGTCAAGACAACTTGCAGTAATTGATTTTGTCTTTCTGTCATGTGGGTCTTAGGTATTGAACTCAACAGGTGCCTTTACCTGCTGAACCATCTTGCCAGCTCAAAATTAAGAATTAAGAAAAAAAAAAGAATTATGTTCTTGAGAGGTGGGGAGAAGGACATGGGATATACATTTTGGATAGGTGAATTTCAAACAATGCAAGAAAAAACTGGCATAAGCATCTGGGCTAAAAGATAAGTTATAAATCTTAGGAAGTTCAGAGAAAGCAAAAATTCAGATTTTAATCCAAACCAAACTATTCTAATCAATAAAAGAAAGTTTAGAGAAAAATCCCCATAAAGAATTGGGAAGCTAAGTATGGTAATTTATGCCTGTAAATGCATCACTTGGGAAGCTGAGGCAGGGTGGCTGCTATGAGCTTGAGGCCAGACTGGACAACATGGGAAAAGTATGCCTCAAGAAATAGTAACTTAGAAAGAGTAAAAATGAGAAATGAGGTGTATGCCTGAGACTAGGGGATCAGGAATTCGTCTTAGGTTATATAGTAAGATCCTGTTGAGAGGTAGAGGAGGGAGAAGAGGCATTTTTTTTTCTTTTATGAAACTAAAGAAAAATATTGTGAGTAGCTTGATTGCTCAAACTGAACAATCAAGTTTTATTTTGCAAAGTTGAGATCAGTTACAAAAAAACCAAAACAAAACAAAAAACCAAAAATGACAGAGTCACATTAATGCAGATTTAAGGAGGAGGCTTCGATCTGTTAGAATAGCAACCAGAAAACTGGCCCATCCAGTGAATGAAGCTTGCAAGAATTGCTAAGGGAGATCTGTGTAGGTCAGGGGATAGGGGACAGGCCTGTTTGGAAGGCTCATACACTGCAGATGGATGGTGGAGAGAAAGCCGAGTTCTAAAACCCCTACTTTGCTTCTGGCCTTTCTGTCAGGGAAATGTGATCTTTCTCAAAAGCAAGAAGTTGAATGATCATTTTAGGGAAAATGAAGGCTGCACAAAGTGAAGCTTTCCTAAGTGTGTTCAAGCATTCTGGCTTAATAAATTGCATTTCAAGATAGATTTAAAGCAGCCTGCAGCCACCCGTGATCCTCTGGGATTCTAGAAGGCGGCTCTTCCCAAGCGGTTGCAGACAAAGTGAATAATTCTGAAAATGAACAGCTGGTGAGCTTATTGCAAACCTCGGTAAGATTCTGGACTAGGAGCTCCAGGGGTGAACTGTGGGCACTAAGCCGGAGCAAGAACAACACAGAACAAGGTAGAACATGGTGGCAGCAGTACCTGCTGGCTGACGGACCACTCTTCTTTCTCATAACTTCCTAAAAGTGGCTGGAAAACAGGCAGGGCCTAGATGTGATTGGCTGGACTATCTGTATCCAAAAGGAGCTGAATGAATGACTTGTGCTAAGGTGGGCAGTGCTCCTAAGCATGGCCCGAAGGTCAGCCACATACCACTCCACTCAGGAAAGACGTTGAGAATAATTGCTGGGCCTTAACTTTCTCTCCTCCCAAATCCTAATCTCCAAAGGTAAGATGAGGAAGCCCTTTGCTGACACCTGCACCTGGGAACACAAGTGTCACTGAGGTTCAGGGAGAGTCTCGATGTGCATCAGGACTCTTTCCCACTCTCTCTGAATGGTTTCTTGTAGTGAAGGTGTGGTGAGAACCCTCACTGTGAGCTACATGGCACAGGGCTGAGAGTGCAGCCCACATGCTGAATGTTATAGTTACCTCACAAAAGCTTATGAACAAGAGCAGTCAAAAAAGAGGAGATAATAAGAATAAATATGGGTTCTTATGATTGAGTTTAAAAAGCAACTGCCAACTAAAGGAATGACTTACATGTTGACAGAGACATCTCAGGAATGTAGGTGAGAACTGGTTAAAGAGACAATGAGCTAATTGGATGATACAAAGTGGGATACAATGTAGATAATGTTTGGATCTTAGCCCAACTGTGATGAAAAGGGGACAGTTGTGTTTGCTTAATGCTCCTGTTCTTAGATTTCTGCTTGAGAAGAAACAAAGATGGGTTTATGGCTGGTCCATATTCAGAAGGTAGACTCAGGATGGAGGTAATTCTCATCCCAAAAGATTTAGAGAGGATAAGTTTTCTAACACGGATTAAACCGAGGGCCCGTGACCACCTGGCAGGTATGAAGAAGGAAAGAAAAGCCTTTTTTCAGCTATATTAATACTGTTGCATTACCTCTCCTGGTAAATCTACATCTTTTCAGTTCAGATAAAAAGGCAATGATTAATGATTCCAGCCAGTGAGCTTGGTGAGCCAGGAAGTTTACTGGGATTACTTATAGGTGACTCAGGCAGCTGTGTCTGAAAAGGCTACCTCAGCAAGAATGGTGACTCATGAAAGCTGCATCATGGAGTCCCTATACAACCTGCACCCAGCTGAGTGTCTCTTGTCTTCCTGAACTTGTTTGCTGTTTATCTGGTCTCTCCTGGGGAACCTCATGAGTCTTGTAACTTTTGTGAGCTTCCCGAGTGTTGTTAGTTTACTGTTTCTTTTCCTCTTTTTCTTTCTTCCTTTTCTTTTCTTTCTTTTTGGTTTTTCGAGACAGGGTTTCTCTGTAGCTTTGGAACCTGTTGTATAGTGTATGTCACAGGGGTGTGTGTGTGTGTGTGTGTGTGTGTGTGTGTGTGTGTGTGTCCTATGTCACAGGTGTGATGTGCCTGTGGAAGTCAGGACAGCTTGCAGGAGTCAGTTCTTTCCTTAAAATGCAAGTCCTAGAGCTCAAGTATTGTTGTTAGGCTTGAACATGAGCCTCAAAAGTGTCTGTCCCTTTTGTGAGAGAATGTTTCAATCTAGAGGAAATGGCTACACAATAGTCTCCTCTTCCTGCTGGCTTTTACACCCTCTGCCCCATCCTCTATGATGTTCCCAGGCCTTGGTGGGGAGGAACAATGTAAATGTGTGATTATTGTTCTGTTTTTCTGGCTGAGCCTTGGGTCACATTGCCACAGCAGTAGACAATTATTCTCAGACATTTGACTATTGAGTTGCTGCAATAACCATCTTCCAAAAGAGAAATTTCTTTTCATTATTGAGGCTGAGTGCAGCAGCAGTCTTTGGGTATAAACACAAATGTTTGGAAATCAGTTGATACCTCACATCTGTTTAATGAAACAGTAACAACTTCCCATTGTAGCCTGTGACCTCAATAACAAGTGTTTGTCTTGGTCCTGCAGCACTGTATAGGGTTCCTTCCTGTGATGTGAGCCTTAATCCCCCGGATTTTTGCTGCTGCTGTTGTCCTGCATTCATGGTTGGCTTCTGCACACCATTAGCACTACACTGAAGTTGCTAATGGAAGAATGCCCCAGAGTAGTGTCAGGCTAAACTTGTCTTGCTAATTCTTTGAGGTTTATCTTTACCAGTTGAGTCCAGCAGAGGGCGGTATTATACCACCAGTTTGGTTCATTTCCCATTGCTCACCCTAGTGACCTGGTTAAATGAATTATGCTGTCTCATAAATGTTATTCTGATCATATGAAACACCCTGCTTCTCAATATGCAGTATGGTACAGTTGGAGTTTTGTTTTTCATATCAAAATATTCTATTTCTTTTCTTCATGCTTTGCACTAAATACCAATTCTGTAGCAGCACTTTTTTACTTAAGAAATTATCTTTTCTTAAAATTTTATAAATGAATTTTTTTTTGAGACAGGGTTTCTCTGTGTAGCTTTGGAGCCTATCCTGGCACTCACTCTGGAGACCAGGCTGGCCTCAAACTCACAGAGATCCGCCTGCCTCTGCCTCCCGAGTGCTGGGACTAAAGGCGTGGGCCAGCCAACACCTGGCTGAATATCTTTTAAAGTTGGCTTTACTTAAATTTGTGGGTTCCTTATTATGT